GGGAACCCACGCATCCCGCACCCACCCGCGGCACCGGCCCCGCTGTCCCCCCCCCATCCCCCCCGCAGCCTCTCCCGGGCCTGGTCCGCACGGTGCCGTCATACGGCGGTGGTGGCTGGCACCTGTTTGCCCCCCCCCATACAGACAGACAGACAGACAGACAGACAGACAGACATATCTCGTGGGGTCACGGCTGTGGGGCTGCGGGGCTGCGGGGCTGCCCCCGAAACGGCCGTATTTCCCCCCCACAAAAAGTTGGGTGGTGGAACAGGGGGTGGCCGTGGGTTCGGTGACCCTAAAAGTGGTGGCACTGGGGTGGCACGAGGGCTGCGGGGTCAGCATCAGCACTGCGGGGGAAACTGAGGCACGGCGCGGGGGGTCTGCGCACCCAAAGGGACAGAGATGGGGCTCACACCATGCACACGTGTGTGTGTGTGTGTGTGTGTGTGCACATGGCAGCATCGCTGCAGTGCGTGTGCACAAGTGCAGCGCGCCGGCTCCATGTGCACAGCAGTGCTGCAGGGCAAGCGTGCGCGTGTTTGCACGAGCAGAGCGTCGGTGCGAGGTGCTGGGGTGCATGCACAAGCACGGCAGGGCTGTCAGGTGTCGGTGCATGCACAGCACAGCATGGCTGCAAGGAGTCTGTGCGTGCACGAGCACAGCACTGCTGCCAGGTGTCGGTGCGTGCACAAGCACAGCTTTGCTGCCAGGTGTCTGCGTGTGCACACGGACGCAGCGTTGCCCTCAAGCTGCTTTTGCACGCGTGCACACACACACGCATGGGTGTACAGCCCTGTGCATGCACAAGTGCAGCGGTGCTGCGTGGTGTTCCTGTTTGTGTGGGTGAGTGTGCACGGCCTCCCTGCAGTGTGCCCCAAAACCACCTTGGCAGAACCCCAAGGTGACCCCATAGGGCCATGCTGGGTGTATGGGGGGGGGTCTGCCCTGCTGCCACCCTGCTGCCCGCTGACCCCAACCCACCAAACCCACCCTCAGTGCCGCTGGGCAGCCCTGGGTTGGGATGGGATGGAAATGGGGTGAGATGGGGAAGCACACCCAGTGCTTTCAGCACTGATCCCAACGTGAGCACGGTGACAGCGGTGACACCAGCACCCTGTGCCACCCATGGGGACCCCAAGCACCCTCCATCATCGGGGTTTTGGGGCGCAGTGTTTGATTTGGGGTGGATTTTAGCAGTGTTATGGGTTTCCCCCCAACCACACATGCACGGCGTTCCCCCCAGCCCGGCTGCGGCTCCGAAGGAAGGAGACCCCACAAAGCAGCAAAACCACTGCATGGCACTCACTGATGCTTTTGGGTTTTTGGGCAATCTGATTTCAGCTTTGGGGCAGATTCCCACTGAGGTTCCCCCAGTCCTCCTGCAGAGCCCATTTGGAGGCATTAACCCCCAAATCCGCCCTCTGCCTCCTTCCCCTCCCAGCCCATCGCTGGGCACTGCGACATGGGGACACTTTGGGCACCATTCCTGTTATGCTTCAGTTTCCCCACCGTTGTGGGGTCGGGGGTGGCCAGGCTCAGCCCTGTTCCCCCCGCAGAGATCCGCGAGGCCTTCAAGGTGTTCGACCGGGACGGCAACGGCTTCATCTCCAAGCAGGAGCTGGGCACGGCCATGCGCTCACTGGGCTACATGCCCAACGAGGTGGAGCTCGAGGTCATCATCCAGCGCCTCGACATGGACGGTAGGGACCCCTGTGGGGTGGGATGAGACCCCCGGAGTCACCCCACAACAGAGCAGGGCCGTGGTGCAAGGCCAGAGCCTTCCCCATCCCCATCCTTCTCACCACCGTGGCATCGTTTGAGGGGATTTGATGATGCTGGAACGCTCCCAGGATGGGGACAGCACTCTTCCCAACCTCCAAACCCAATGGGAATAGGGTGTGAAGGGCTGCATCCTGCACCCAGCCCTGGATCCCACACCCAGCCCTGGATCCCACACCCCAGGCTCAGCCCCCTACCCCAGCCATGCCTGTCTCTGTCACTCCCATGCTCATCGGGACCTTAAGGAGCGCGTTAATTTATAGGATTCCATTCTTTTTTTTTTCTTCCCCATTTAAAAGCCTTTCAGGCAAGGCTGCCAAGCCGCGGCTCCCTTCATTACTCATCGTTAGTGCTGCTGTGACAGCCCCAGCACCCGCCCCAGCCACAGGATGAGGCCCACGGCTGCACTGCAGTGGGGTCTCAAAGGGGCCGGGATGAGCTGGGGGGTCCCGGTGGTGTTGGGGTTCCTCCCAGCTTTGGGGTCCCCAGCTGTGGTTGCAGTCCCCAGATGAGGCAGGGTTCTGGGCAGCATTGGGGTCCCATGGTGTTGGGATTCCCTCTGGCTTTGGGGATCTCCAGCTGGTATTGGGGTCTGCAGATGGATCTGGGGTTCCTGGCTGGCCCTGTTGTCCGCAGGCAGCACGGGGTCCTGGCTGGTGATGTCCTAAAGCCCAGGAGCCCAGGCCAGCCCAGCATGGAGATGAGTGATTCCTGGGCAGGGTGCAGGGGTGTCGTGGAGCCCCCAGATGTTGTCCAGGTGCAGGACCACCCCCAAACAACACATGAGTGGGGTCCTCCCAAAACTCTAGAGTGGGACCCCAAGGCTGTGGGGTAGGGTACCGCCAAGCACAACCCCAAATCAGTGCTGTGAGGACCCCCTTCTCACTGTCCCTATGAGCACGAGCAAGGGGATGATGCACTCGAGCCCTACTCCCTCTATGGGGTGATGGCACTGCTGTGCCCCACAGGTGACGGACAGGTGGACTTTGAGGAATTTGTGACGTTGCTGGGGCCCAAGCTGTCCACCTCGGGCATCCCAGAGAAGTTCCACGGCACCGACTTTGACACCGTCTTCTGGAAGGTAGGGGACAGCAGGCAGTGGGAGCCTGGGGGGCTTGGGGTCGGGTGGGTGGAGGTTTGGAGTGGGTGAGGGTCAGGTCTGAGGTGGGGGGAAGGGCTGAGGTTAGGGCTGGGGTCAGGACTGGGTTTGGGGTTAGGGGTAGAGCTGGTTTGAGAGTCAGGGCTGGGGTTGGAGATAAGGTCGGGAATGGGGTCAGGGTCAGAGTTGGGGTTGGGGTTTGGGTTAGTGTCAGGGTTGGGCTGGGTCAGGCTCAGGCTTTGGTTGGGGTTAGGGTGAGGATTTGGGTGAGGTTTAGGGTTAGGGTGAGGGCTGGGCTCAGCATCAGGCTCCAGCTCCACGTTAAGGTTGCTCGGGGTCAGGGTGAGGCTGCATGTTTGGGTGGGGTTTGGATTAGGTCAGGAGTGTGCTTAGGGTCAGGCTCAGGCTCTGCGTCAGGGCCGGGTTTGGGGTCAGGATGAGGGTTAGGGGTCGTTCTGGAGTCATGCTCTGGTGTGGGGCCAGGAGCTGAACCTCAGCGTGGTGCAATGGTGGCACGAAGCCCGGCACCCAAAGGTGCCGCAACACCCGGCCCCACTTCGCCAAGGCCCGGGGTGGAGGCAGCCCCTTTTGGGGTCCCACCTTGGGGTCCCCGTGTGCCCTCACCGTGCGCCGCCCCGCAGTGCGACATGCAGAAGCTGACAGTGGACGAGCTGAAGCGACTGCTGTACGACACCTTCTGTGAGCACCTCTCCATGAAGGACATCGAGAACATCATCATGACGGAGGAGGAGAGCCACATGGGCACGGCCGAGGAGTGCCCCGTGGAGGTGGAGAGTGAGTGGGGCGCACAGGGGGGGAAATGAGGTGGGAGGTGAGAAGGGGAGGTGGGCTGACGTGGGCTGTCCCCACAGCCTGCTCCAACCAGCAGATCAGGCAGACGTGCGTGCGGAAAAGCCTCATCTGCGCCTTCGCCATCGCCTTCATCATCAGCGTGATGCTCATCGCCGCCAACCAGGTGCTGCGCAGCGGCATGAAGTAGCGCGGATACGGGGCGTCCGTGTGGGTCTGGGGTGTCCATGCAGGTCCAGTATGGGATGCACACCTACTGCAAGCAGACCCGCCGCAAAACACCCCGGGGATGGAGAGAAAAGCCCGGCGTGGGGTGAGCGTGGAGCTCGCACGGTTGCCTGCAGGACGCATTGACTCTGAGAGACACGCACACCAAACTAAACCCTCGCCAGCAAATAGTGCATGCAACGTGCATGGAGCCCGTCTGCTGCCCCATCCCTCCGAGCCGGGGCCACCGGTTGCACCACTATAGCCTCTATAGCTCGATATTTATGATAAAAACAAAACACACACAAAAAAAAACACACGAAAAACAAACAAACAAAAAACCCAACCAAACCATCTCGTAAGCAATACACCCCCGCCTGAGATGTTTTTCTCTTCGGAGATCCGGGAGCGTTTGCATGGACGTCGCTGCCAAGGGCTGGATGTCATCCCCCTGCCCCCCCCGCCCCGTGCCGTGCCTCAGTTTCCCCCCCCTCTCCAGACAGGGCTGGCACTGCTGACCTCTGCTTGATGCACTTTGCAAGGACCCGCCGGGAAGAGCCGTGCATCCCGGGGGACCCCCCTGCCCCCCAACCCCCCCAGCCTGTATGTAGCACCCCGGCACCGGACTGGTTCGGATGCGGGTCCGTTTCTCATTCTTTGGGTTTTGTTGGATTTCCCTTTTTTTTTTTTTTTTTTTGGCATTACTTTCTTTTTTTTTTCCCCCTTTCCTTCCTGGTTGGTTGTTATCGATCTGAAATAAATCTGGGATTTCTGAAGCGCTCGGGGCTGATGGTGGGATGGGTACCCATGGGTGCTGCACAGCTCCCCCACCGTGCCCCAATGCCTTTGGCTTTAGGTGCTGATCCATGTGTGAAGCCCTGCTCCTGGTTTATGGCACGGCAGGGGTCCAACCAGCCCCCCTCACCCCCCAAATGCCACCCCGCTAACGAACCTATGGATACATTTAGAGCTCCCTGGAAATCACTGCTCCATTGCTCTGGGGGGGGATCCTGCACCCGCCTGATGGATCGCCCTCCCCTGAGCCCCCAGATGATGCATTTTTAATGGCAAAGAGATTAAAAGAATAAATAAAAACACGGGGAGCTCTCCCGCTTCCCACACTGCCAGCACTGGAGGTGGCCAACCCTGAGGCTGTTGGGTCCTCCAAGCTGAGGACCCCCACATTTATGGGGTCAGAAGGACCCAGCGCTGCCCACCGGACCCTACAGAGCCACAACCCAGGTGCAAAACCCACAGCAAATGGGACACGTGGGGCAGGAAAAGACATGGAGCTCAGGGTTCAGAGCACGGCGTGGCTGCAGCGAGGGCTGCAAGCAGGAACCGACTGCCTTAATTGGGGAGGGGGTGATCTGAGGTGGGCTTTTTTTTTTTTTTTTTTGCTTTATTCTTTTAATTTTTTGATCCCATGAGATCGATCACACAAATTGAAGCCGGCGTCCAAATGAGAAATGAAAATGGGAAGCTGAAATCATCGCGGCCGCCTGGAGAAGTGGGGGAGGCACAGCGCCCATAATGAAACTTCATCCATCTCCACACAGAAACTTGGGCTTTTTTATGAACCGCCACTTTCAGAGGGAACCACGTGGCCTCCGGGATGCACAGATAGATATATATCGAGCAAGTCTATTAGAGATGCTGTGAATAAACAAAAGGAAGCCAAAAAGAACAAAACAAAACAAAAAAACCAATAACGATATAGGACAATTTAATTTGCTAGAAAATACAATAACATAAAAGAAAAATTAGATAAAAGGAATAATGCCTTCCTCCGAGCTCAGCTTTTCAAAGCTGCTCAATTAATTTTAATGGGATCGCCGTCCTCAAGGCAGGTTTGGAGATCTCGGATCCAGGAGCGCCCGAGCGGCGCTGGGCTGCGGTGCTGCTGCAGCTGGGGATGCCTCATTGCGGCTGCTGCTAATTGAATTAAGGCTGACGAGGAACAGATCGTCTGCTGAGAGCGGTCTGAAGGGATGAGGGCGGCCGTGGGGCTGTGGGGAGAGCAGGGCCCTGCCTGGGGGCTGCTGAAGGAGCACAGCGCAGGGAGAAGGGCTGGCAGCAGGACTGCCCGGGTTTGGGGCTGCTGAGAAGCATTTTGGGGCAGGAGGAGTTATTTCTGCTTCTCTGTCCTGCAAGCAGTGTGGAATGGCCACAGCCTCATCCCTGTCCCCATCCTCATCTCATTTCATTCCCCTTCCCATCCCCATTGCCATTTCTATCCCTATTCCCATTCCCATCCCATCCTCATCTCATCCCATTCCCAACTCCATCCCTTCCCACACCCATCCCAACCCATCCCCATTTCCACCCTTATTCCCATTCCCATCCTCATTTCCATCCCTATTCCCATCCCCATCCCCAAATCCCCATCCCTATCCTCATCCCCATCCTCATCCTCATTTCATCTTATTCCCATCCCATCCCATCCTCAACTCATCCCATCCCATTCCCAACTCCATCCCATCCCAACCCATCCCCATTTCCATCCCTATTCCCATCCTCATCCCCATCCTCAAATCCTCATCTCATTCCCATCCCATCCTCATCCCATCCCATCCCATCCCATCCCATCCCCAACCCCATCCCTTCCCTTCCCATCCCCACCCCATCCCCATTTCCACCCCTATTCCCATTCCCATCCCCATCTCTTCCTTATCCCCACCCCCATCCCACCTCCATCCCCACCCCATCCCCTCTCCCTCCAAGAGCTGCCAGAGGACACGGGGCAGAGCCCAGCAGGGCTGCACCTTGGCAGCAGCCCAGGAGTGGTTCATTTGCCTAAAAGCCTCCCGATAAATTACTGCTGCTCCATAGGAGGCACTTTGGCTCACACCATCGCTCAGGGGCTGCAGCAACCCCACCAACCCAGCACAGCTGGGGACAGCAAGTGGGGAGACCCTACTGCAGGCTGCAGGGTGCCCAGTTAGTGATGGTGGTGGTGCAGAGGGGTGCAGGGTGCCAACCACGGGAGCAAAGGAAGGAGCTGAGAACCCCATCCTGCTCAGCCCACGCTGGCTGCTAAGACTCCCTGGTTTACGGGTTACAAATGTTTGCAAAGCCAAATTTAGAAATGCTTTTGCAGGTTTGCAGAGCTCCCTGCCTGGGCACAAGGGGTGGCACAGAGCAGGGCGGAGGGAAGTCAGCATGGCTGTGTGCCTTCAACCACAGCTAGGAGCTGCAAAATGCTGTGAGGGGGAATTGCAAAATCTCATTAGAGCAGCAGGAATCGGCGCACACTCCGCTGCCAGCCCAGAGTGCCTGCAGGAGGGAGGGGAGCTCGTGCTCTGATCTGCCTCACTGGGGAGGGAATCGGGCACAGGGAGCACCAGAGAGCCCCTCTGGGGTTACTGTCACTCCATTTGGCCTCTGGGAGATGCGCAGGGCAGGGAGTCCTCCAGGGATGGTGCCACGTGGGTGCTGTGGGTAAAAACACCCCAAGATTCCCTGAAGGCACAACCAAGCACTGGGCACGGTCAGATCCAACCTCTGTGTGCCAATGCAGCGGCAGCACCGGTTGCCACAGGGCTTGCAGAGCAGGGCTGGCTGGGGCAGCTGGCTGCTGCCTGTGCTCTCCATGAATCTGGACCCAACGCCTGCCTGCGTGGCCAAACCTGGAGTGCGCTGGCAGGCAGCAGTGCTGCATGGGGCTGCTCTGCTGGCACGCTGCGACCACCAGCACTGACCCACAGGTACCCACTGCTGGCACTCGTCCTTCAGATATTTTCCTAGAGGAGGAGAAGCCTTGGAATAGTTTTTGGTTTTTTCCCCTTTTTTCTTCTCACCTCCAGCGCAGCAGGAACAGGAGCATGGGGTTTTCGGGAGCTCCCCTGACTCTTCATTAGGAGCTCCAGCACCTGAACCAAAGCTGTTTTACGCACTACGTTTAACAGAAGCAAACATAAATTATCAACACTGGAGGAAATATCAAGCAGTGATGCTTAAGAGCTCGTTGGCAGCTTCCTTTCCAGGCCTGGGGCAGCTGCACAGACAGCCCACAGAAGAGGTGCTGCTGCTTACATTCCCATTTCCCCCATCATGGGAGTCAGGTCGACCCACTGAGGCCGCCAGGTAAGAAACAACACGAGGCTGCAACAGGGGGAGAATTTTATTAATATAGAAGCATATATAAATAATCTGGTCTCGTTCTCACACTAGGAAGAAATCCAGCCCCAGCACGATGCCTCAGCCCCATTGCAGGCCGGGGGGCACCGGCCACCCCCCAGGTGGGGGGGCCCTCAGGGATGGGGGCAGCTCCTGCAGAGGGGGCCAGCCGGGGGGGTACTGGAAGGGTGTGGGTTTCTCAGGCAGGGCACTGCGGAGATGGAAAGGGCAGAGATGAGCCTCCTTGGTTTGCCAGCACGGCCCTGCTTGGGGACACTGCTCAGTCCCCCCTGCTTGCCCCGTGAGGGACGAGCTGACCCCCAGCTCCTGGCACAGCTGAGCTTTGAGAACGGCACCTGCAGATGTGGCCGTGGTTTCCTCCCAGGCAGCCCCAAGCCCAAGGCAGCTGCACACTTTTCCCAGAGGACAAGGACCCCTCGGAAGTGGTGGAGCTGCCAAAACCCAGCTGTTCTCCCAGAAGCACCCTTACAGAGGGAAGAGGCTTTCTCTCCCAGCACAGGCAGCACCGCCACACACGGCAGCGGAAGCACAAAATGAGAAGCATCTCTCCTTTGTCTCCAGCCAAAGCAAGTGCTCGGCCGGGGCAGGTTTAAAATCACAGCAAATGTAGTGAGGAATTAATGGGAAAGGGTACAGGAAACTCATTTGTTCTTCAGCAGCAGCCCTGACAGCAGCCCTCCCGCTTCTCGGGCCTCTACCTCTGATCCTGATGGATCCCTTTAATTGTTATGCCAGAAGAAATCTAATCACGCTCCTTTACATAATGCTCTGGAGGAGCAGCACCCTCCTCTCCCTGCAGGGCTGGCAACGTGGCCCAACGCCAGCTCCAGGAGTTCAGTGCGGTGTTTTCCAGGCAACTAGCAGAGAGTAAAGTCATTTGGCAGAAAGCTCATCCCCTGCTCTGCACCGGGGATGGGAGAAGGACCAACAGACACACAGCAGCCCCATATGGGAAGGAACTCCCTTTGGGTTGCACCCAGGTCCTGCAGCAGCAGAGCAGCAGGATGAGGCATGCTGTAAGGTGGAACAGCACAGCTATCAACTAATGAGCTGCCCCGAGAGCAGCAGAACTAATCAATAGGGAGGATGCTGTCTGGGTACTCGATTCCCTGGGGTCTCATAAGACACGAGTGCTATGATGGGTTCACCTCCTGTTGGGGTATTCAGAGTGGCAGCCCCATGGGAATTCTTCAGGGTCGAGTAAGGGCCAAGGCTACGTCCTTTCCAGAGGCTCTGATGAAATCTCAGTACCCACAGCCCTTGGGCCTCATTCTGATGGAAAGCTGCAAGTGGGCTCTGCATCATTATGGCACACACACACACACACACTGGTGGGCAAGGACACACACATCTCCTCTGGAAATGAGGGTAAAAATCAAAGCTCCACAGCTCAGCAATCTGCACCAATGCCATCCAGCTTCCCCCTGCACTCCAGGAAGCAATGGCACGATGAGACTGAAAATATGGCTGAGGTGGAAGCTTTCAAGTGCAGATTGTGCTGCTGAGCCCAACTGTGGGTGGAGGGCAGCATGGCAGTTCTACCACCACGGGGCTGATTGAGGTGATGCTCAGCAGACCCCAAGGCAGTGTCATTCAGAACACACTGCATGCCATGGAACCCCCTGTCCCAAACAGCAGGACAAGGACTGTGCTCCTTCTGAAAAGTTCTGGGGATGGTCAGAGGCCACACGGGCACATAGGTCCCCACAAGGTCTGGGTTGAGCAGTGGGTGTCCTCTGTGAGAGCTGATCCATCCTGAGACTGGGGCAGGACAAATGAACAGGGACAGCATGACTGCAGGGCAAGGAGCAGCCTGGCTGAGGGATGGAAGGAGCAGAGAGCAGCACGCCCAGACAGTCACCAGAGAGAAGATTCTGCCCAGACCAAACACGGAGAGGACAGGAGCAAACAGAAAAAAGAACAAAAGAGAGATCTGGCACCTGCCCAAACGCCATCCAATTAAGCCTGCGGCACTGTCAGGTGAGCAGGGAAGCAGCAGGGACCTGCAGGCACCCCACAGCACGCAGGAGGAGCCAATCCCACCTCCGACTGGCAAAGGAGAAAGCAGGCATGGGCAGAGGCATACAGACAGGGCAGGCAGAGGATGGAGGAGCTGTCAGCAGATGAGACCAACCTGCTGTCACCGGCTCTGGGCATTAATAACGTCGCCCTGCCATGGCAGACGTGTCTGGCACTCTGTAAAGGCTGCAGGAGCTCCCTGCCTGAGTCCCTCAGGGCAGGAGGACAGGCAGCAGGACCTTGTCACCTCCAACCTGACCTCTGGCACCATCTCCCACCCCATTTTTCCATCCCACCCCCCCCAGCCATGGTACCTGTTGCTCTGAGCTGCGCTCAGCCTCTTGGCTCTCTTCTCCAGCCAATTCTCAATGGTGCCAGGTGGGATTTCTGCTCCTTCCTGCCGCAGCTCCCTCAATCTCTGCTCCCCTGGTTGAGAGAGAGCTGTCAGAGGTTTGCACTGCAATCCTTTCGCTCCACCAAACCCACTGCTCATCGCCCTGCAGAGCTTCTTATCATGGAGAGCTTGCAATCTACCCATGGCAGCCCCCACTGCCCCACTGCCCACCTCCATCAGATGCTGCTCTGGCTTCGGCAGGGAGCTGGGCCACCCCCTTCATCCTCATCCCCAAAGCTCCAAGGGAGGAGGGGACCCTGATCCCACCCAGACACCATCTGCCACCTGTGGCCACGCTCACCCAGAGCTGCTCTCACCTCACCACCATATGTCACACGTTTAAGGAAAACATTATACGTTTCCAGACAGGGTGTGAAATTGATATTGCTTGGGCAGAGTGAAGGATCACTTCATCCTAGTGGTGGCAACCAATTATTCATCTGCCTGCTGAATATTAATAAGGATGGCAGGAATGTGCTACACAATGAGCAGCCGGAGATGGATAATTTGTCATCCAGCCTTTTCATCTGCTGCTGCTGGGAGGAGGTGACGGCGCTCACTGCCACCACAAAGAGCTCCTGCTGGGGTCCCGATGTTGGGGTACGCTCTGCGAGCCAGAGATAAGGGTACTGGTTGGAAACAGGGCTGTTCTCACATCTCCCACTGTTGTTCTCGAGGAGTAAAGTCCCAGCAGAGCCATTCAGAGTCAAACGGAGAGCCTGAGAGCAGCGGAGGACAAGCAGAGCAGTTTGGTAAGCAGGGCACCTGGCTCAGACTCAGGACAGGAGCTGAATGCAGCTCCCACATTAGAATTCCTCAGCCAAGGGCTCTCTGTTCAGAGCAGGGACCAAACTGGTGGGAGCCCACAGCCTCTTCCTGGTCCCAATGAGCTCACTGGCTGTGCTGGGACATCTCCCAGCTCACGCTGGCTGAAGCCAGGCCCCAGGTGAAAGCCATCCAGCTGGCTCCTGCCCCCAGCTCCAGCCCTCTGGCCAAGTCTTGAGGCAGCAGATATGGACACACACCTGGCTCTGCACCCCTTGATAAACACCCATCTAACAGCAAATCTTCATCTCATCCTCTTCTGTAATACACACATTCCATTCAGTGACCACCAAAACCTCCAGTGGATTGAAATGGGACAAGTGCTCCCTGTAAGCTGTGCCAGAGGTTGGACATCAGGAACAATTTCCTCTCCAAAAGAGCAGTGAGGCAGTGCCACAGCTGCCCTGGGAGTGGTGGGGTCACCGTCCCTGGAGGTGTCCCAGAGCTGTGTGGACGTGGCACTGAGGGATGTGGGCACGGTGGGGGTGGGCCGGTGGTGATCTCAGAGATCTTTTCCAACCTCAGTGACTCCATGATTCCCAGTATTCCCTGAAGGTCAGAGATATTCCAAGATGCCATTCTGAAATGCAATTACCTGCCCTTGTTACTGACCACAGCCAGACCGCAGCAGAAAGAAAGACAGGTTGTGGAGGTCCTTCTTCCCTCAGCCCCCACTGGGGTGTCTGCCTTAAAGTTTAATTACAACCAATTAAAAGAGTGACTGCAGTCATAAAGTGCCTCTCTAACGATGCTGGCCCAGGATCCCACCTTCCTCCTTTCTCCCTGTGCAACTCTCAGCACAAGGAAAAATAAAGAAATCCCAGAGTGGAACTCACAACGTGCCCACATTGCTCAGGATGCCAACGTGCAGAACCTGGTGAGGCACCACAGAAGTGCCCAGGCAGGTCCCCCAGCAGAGACGTGCATGCAATGATAGAACCATAATGGCTGGAACAGCCCCAGCCGTGCCCCTGCTCTCCCCCAGCTCAGCAGAGCTGCTCAGAGAGGCTGAGCTGTGTCAACACCACGAGCAGAAGTGACGCGGATTAGCAGGGAGCCAATAACTTCAAGCAAAAAGATGCCAATTTGACAGCGACTTTTCTTGACATGACTGTACTAAAAATGACAGCCTGGAAGTGTCTCTCTGATGAATGATGCAGCAGATGCAGCGATAACGCTTTGATGCAGTAACAGCTGGGAATAAGCCTCCCTCCCTGCTGAAGGTGGAAACTGTTGCTTCTATATGAGTATACTCTACCTGGAGCAGATCTGCTGCAGCCAAACCAGGGCAGGCTCCAGGCGAGTATAAAGTGGCCAGAAACGTTCCTGCTTAACCCACACGACCAGCACAAACAATGAGGTGAATTCCCTGCTTTAAGGAGGCCGAACTTGAGAAATAAGGCAGTGTTCCCTTTGGCTGTCAATAAAGTACATTGTTAGCATGGGGAACTTGCTGCCACAGAACTACCAGCACCAAGCACCAGGACCCAAAGCCCAGGAGCTAGACAGGGCTTTTAGAATGCAAGTCCACCTCTAGCATATAGAATCACGAGTTGGAAGGGACCCTTAAAGGCCACCTGGTCCAACTCCCCTGCATTGAACAGGGGCACCCACAGCTCCACCAGGTGCTCAGAGCCCCATCCAGCCTGGCCTTGAAGAACACAGGTCAGTGGTGCACAGCACTTCATCACAGGGCTTCTTCACAACCTTATTCTGAAGTGTCTGCCCTGGAGAAGGGGAGGACAGCTTTGAGGATTGCATGACGAGGATCAAGCCTCCCATATGACTATTATAACCTGTCGTTTAACCTGCCATCCACAAGCTTGCTGCAATCTCTGTCCTAAGCCTCACCACCTGAAACACTGCTGCTTCAAGGAGCGCTGACATGTCCCCACAATGCTCCTAAAGGTGGTTTGGCACCTGCAGCCATTTATCCTGTCCAGTCACGGGCTCCAACTCTTGCCCACCATGTCCTGCTGAGCCCTTCCCTGCACCAAACCTGAAGTTGAGCTCTGTGTGACCCTCAGCCAGAGTGCCTGGCTCCCACAGGACAAGGAGCAACACTGAGAGAGGCGAGCAGCATTTAACTACAGCCCGGCATGCGTGACAGCACAGCCAAGGAGAGGCACCCTGCTGTCCCCTGGAGAAGCCTAATTGCTTAATTAAACGTTTGACTTAGTAATACAAATGCAAGGTTTCCAAGCAGTCTCCCAGGAGCCACTCTCTCCCCAGCCAACTCCCCACTTACGTCCGACCCATCTGACACAAGTCAATATTCAGTAGCAAGTGCAACTGGCAAGGCAACCTGCCCAAGCACAGAGGAGCTTGCCAGCCTTCCCACGCAGCTCTGCTCTGCTTCAGAGTGCTCTCTTCCCTGCAATAAAGAGCCTGGAAACACCACAGGTTTCTCCAAACAGGCTGACTTGTGAAGCCAGCCTGGCACGTGAGCCCTGCAGCAGGGAGGGCTGACAGCCGTGGGGAGAGGAGTGCTGCTCCATGCAGCCCCACGAGATGGCTTTTATTGACTGCCAGCACTGCTCAGCTATTGATTCAGCATCGCCCCAGGGACCTGCACTGACTCAGCAGCGGGGAGGACTGGAAGGAAGGCAGCTTTCAAGTGCTGCCTTCCTCCCACCTCCCTGAACCTGGAGCCCACAGACACCCCAAATCTCATATGGGACTTATTGGAGTGAGTCCAAGCACCTGAAACAAGAGGAGAGGCTCATGGAGGTGGATCAGGGGATCTCAGCCATGTGTGTAAATACCCAGGAGTTAAGGTGACAGAGCCAGGCTACGTGATGGCATCCAGTGAAAGGATAAGAGGCAACGGGAACAAATGGAAATAAAGGAATTTCCACTGAAAGAAAAGAAAATGCATTTTTACTGTAAGGGTGGTCAAAGGTGGTGTGGAGTCTCTGCCCTTGGAGATGCACAGAACACACGTGGACACGGCCCTGAGCAGCCTGCTGCAGCTCACCCAAAGAGCAATGCAGGGTTGGACAGGATGATCTCCAGAGGGATCTCAACTATTCCATGTGGCCTCATCAACATCCCACTCACTTTTTTTCTGAGAAGGAATGAACACTCCAGGGAAAACAGCTGCTGCTCCTCTTAGGGCGGGGAGGCAGCACCCTCAGCAAGGAAAAGTTGTGTTAGAATGAAAAAGTGCTCCTAAGACTCAGAGCAGGGAGCCAGGTGCCATTTGTCTCCTGCCCAAACTTCAGTTCCACTGAAAACCACACGAACAGAGGCTGTTTCTGGACCCAGCATCCCATTTCATCTCCTCAGGATAACACACCTGATCACCTGATAGCTTTTTACAAGAGTGAGACAGTAGCAAACAGCTCCCCGGGCATAATGGAGAGGTGGGGGGAAACCAAAGCCATAAATTTAAGGGGAAGTGATGTACCAGTGCCCTCTGCTGCTGACAGATTTTATTCCCCGACTGAAGAAAACCCCAAGGGCTCAGGAAGCCCACTATGCTTCAGCTGCTTGCTGCTAAGTGGCAGCAGCGCTGCTCAACTCTTTAGGTTTGTGTCTGTGCCAGGAGATCAAGAGCAGGAAGTCTGAAAAACTGCAGCAATTACAGGCAGCCTCCAGGCTCAGGCAGCCAGGAGAGGCAGGAGGGAGCAGCCACATTCACAGACAGCACAGGATCACACACTCTCACTGCACAACACTTCACACGTCCTCCTGCAGCCCACCATCCTTGCAGCAACTGCCCCTTCCTCAGAGACCCCCTCCCCCAGGCATTTTCTTGTTCCAGGGCTCACCTTGGACCTGTGCACTCAGCTTCTCCAGGTCCTGCTCTGTCATGTGGGAAAATCTGCAGTCAGACCCAAAGTCACACTGCCCTGGAAGAACAGCCACAGAGCTCCGTGAGTAATGCACACGTGAGGACCTCCCGTGTAAATGTGTGTGCAAACCCAGGTTCCACCACACATGGGGCACACAGACCCGTGCCCCTCACTGCCCCCAAGGCAGACACACACATCGGGGCTCTGCAGAGCTCATCGAGGAGGTATTTCCACCTCACCTGTTTGTAGAAACTTCCGACAAGGCTTCTTGCTCTGCTCCTCTTGCAGGATAGCAGCAGCATCTGGGGGAGATAAATGACACAACGCAGGACAGGATCACATCTTTTGCACAGTAGCATCCTGCCAGAGCTCAGATTGCCTAACATGAAGGTATTTTACAGGACAATCCTGACCTTAAGCCAAGGGCAAACTGATTTAACACAGTCCCCACCTACACCCCAGGCTTCAGCTTTTTCCTGGCTTGCAAATAATCCCCTTCCCTGCTTTCCTCTCCACACTCTTTCCCCATCCAAGCAGCACAAAAGAAGCACAACAGAAAAGCAACACTCTGCTCCACTCCTGTGCAGTGCAGAGGAGCAGGCAGGTTAACAGGGCTCTGCCAGGCCCCACTGAACCCCGTGCTGAGGCTCAGGCAGACAGCGGCACTGCGCTCCTTCACCTCCTGCAGGTGTCCTGGGGAAAACACAGCAGCTCCTGTAGGTTTGCAAATATCTGGAGATGCATAGAGCCAAGGCAAAACACCCACTCAGGGCTGAGATGAGGGATTTGATGAATCAGAGGAAAATCAAGGGCTGCAGCCTGGGAGGAAGAAATGCGCCAAGCCATCTGCCTCACTGTCACTGACCCACGTAGAAGGCTGATGGGCAGAGAGACCTCCACACTGGGCCATTTCTTGGACCTTTCCTATCTTCACATACACGAGGCAGCAGACGCCTCAGGGCTCTGCAGCATTCCCCTCAGCTCAGCAGGGAACAGCAGCCTGCAACACCTGCTCTCGAGGAGCTGCAGGGGAGAAGCAAAGGAACACACGAGCAGCGGTTTCACCATCACTTTAATCCAAGCGAAGTCTTTGGATATCGCCAAAACACGCAGTGCCACGTGTCTCCCATCCCCCAGCCGCACACCCAGACCACATTCGTGGGGCTGGCACTGGGACACCCACCTCGGAACAGGTCGTACCAGGCTCTCTTAGCCCGGAGATGCTGCACTCCGTTGAGGTGTTTCTTCCTGTTGTGCAGGTTGTCCTGGAAGGACCGGTCACAGTAATCGCAGAAATACCTTTTCCCCATCTCTCCTCCTGCAGAGCAGCTCAACGCAGCCCCAGCCAGCAGAGCCTCGGTGCCCGGGGACGCAGAAGCACACGCTGAAGGAGCAGAGATTTACGGCGCCTGCTTCCCAAGGAGAAGAGCTGAAATGACGGAGGGCTGGCAGGCAGGGGAAGAGGTGAGACCGACTCCCAGCCCTCAGTGCTGGCGCGGCGCTGCCCGCTGCACCCGCAGGGCAGCTCGGCTCTGCGCTCCGCACTTCTGCCGGCCGAGACCCTGAGATCCCTGGAGCCGCACCAGGGCCAGGCACGCAGCCCGTGGCTGCAGACAACCAAGCGAGCCGCCACGCGAGGGAGGGAATTCTGCCCCCCGCCCAGCCCCCCGCAGCCGCTCTCCCGGTTCCACGGCCGGCTCACCTCCGCCCGGCCTGCGGCCTACAGCGCCGCGCCTACAACTCCCAGCGGCCCCCGCGGCGCGCGCCTACAGCTCCCAGCGATCCCCGCGGGGCACGGGGGTGGCGCGCAGGCGCAGAAGGCGCATCCAAGATGGCGCTGCTCAGGCAGGCTTACAGCGCGCTCTTCCGCCGCACCTCTACTTTCGCCCTCACCGTCGTGCTGGGCGCCGTGCTGTTCGAACGCGCCTTCGATCAGGGCGCGGACGCCATCTTCGAACACCTCAACGAAGGGGTAAGGAAAGGTCGGGGCGCCTCCGGGGGCCGCCCGGCGGTGGGAGCGGCCCTGAAGGTCAGCGCTGCCGCGTGGCGCCGAGGAGCGGTGTGAGCTGCCAGCCGGGATCCAGGCCGGATCCAGCGTTAGCGGGGTCACCTCGGCGCCCGCTGCGTGTCGGACAGCCGTCTCGTCTCCTCCGCCGCCAATCGGACCCGGGTCGGGAGGTCAGAAAGCGGCTGGAAGCTCGGGGCACGCGGCAGGACGGCCTGAGCGCCCCGCAGCAGCGGAGCCGGGGGGCACGGAGGGGCGAGACGGCGTCCCCCCCTGTGCCTCCTTAGCGGCAGGCGTTTGTTAGGGCTGTTCTAAATAACAGCTGGGCTTCAGCTTTGCTCTCAGCTCCCATCCTGCCCTCGTGCAGTGCTTCTCTTAGCCCTGTGCTTCTCTTAGCCCTGAATTCAGCAGCGGATCTCGGTACCTGAATGCCGTTCCTTTGTGTGCATCTGGCAGCACCCAGCCTCACGCTTCTCCTCTGCACTGGGACAAGCGTGGGAGCTGTGGCAGTGCGGCAGCAATAGGAGGGCAGGGAGGTGGATGGAGCAACCATCCCGAAGCCTTTGTGCTCTGCTGTGTTGGTCAAGGTGTGCCCAGGCACAGCAGGAGGGCACAGGGCAGCCGTTCCCAAGCTGTCACCCTGCTGGTGTTTGTGGATGTGTTTTGCTGCACATTCTTCTGTCCCTTGTTGTTTGTTATTGATAACGTACATTTTAAAGTAAAGCTCTCCCAGGACCACTGAAAAGCTAATTGTTTCTTTTCTGTTTGTTTTGCATTCAGAAACTGTGGAAACACATCAAGCACAAATATGAGGCAAGCCAAGACTGAAATGTTCAGCAGCAAGATCCAGTCTGGGGTGGCAAAAGACACTGCAGAGAAGGATTCAGTCTCCTGAGACGGGTTATACTGAAATGGAATTGGGTTCCTGACTGATTCCGAGCCAGATTATATCAGCCACCTACTGATATGATGTCAGCCAAGATGGACTCAACGAGTTCTGCTGCTGTATTGAAACTTACTGTGTTAAAATAAAAAAATAAATGCTTGACCCGTGTTTCACGTTTCTGTGTTTCCCTGCCTTGTCCTTTGTTCTGCCTGCAGCTTCTCCTTACCTGTGAAATGGAGAATGTTTGGGGCTGTGCTGAAGCCTTACTTTCAGGACACTGTAAGAAAGCAAGCTCTTCTCAGGGTAGTGTGAAAGCACACGCTTGCACAGCTGAGGTGCACTGACACCACTGCTGGCTTCTGCCTGATGAGAACTCAAGCAGGGGCAAGGAGCTGCCTGCTTTCCTCTAATCACATTCAAAGAAAAGTGAATGACTACATTCACAAGGTTTTCTATAAATCATCAGCTTTCTTTAATGCAGAGCTGTGCTGGTTTTTGGCTTCTCATTATTCCACAACTGCAGCCCAAATGCTGCTGCCCCTGCTTTAAGCAGGGAGAGAACTGCCTGCCCTGTCCTGCTGTACTAAATGGGGATGGTGTGTGACTTAGCCTGCCTCCAAATCCATGAAATGGGCTGTAAATGACATCGCTGATGGTTTCTGTGCCTTGTGGCTCTCAGAGTGCCATGTAGAGCTGAACTGTCAGGAAACTTGCCTGGTCTGCTGTCAGCCTGCCTCAGTCCCCTCAGATTGCAGCAGAGTTGCTGAGAAGGGCCAGCAATCACGTAGCTCTGCAACAAGCATTCGTGCCTCTGCTCTCATGGGGAGCAGAGTAATTCTCAGCACCTTCTCTGAAAGGTCTACCCCTGTTCCCAGTGGCCATTTCCAACATCTTTCTTCATGAGGAAGGACTATTAGGATACTGTTTGGGTTAATGATTCAATTAAAACAGAATTACTCCAGGGAGAGCTGGCAGAAACCAGCTCCTGCTCTCCCATTTTCCCTCTAATCCAAGCCTGCTGCTGGAGGACCTATAAAAACACATCTCTCCCTCCTTACTATATTCTTGCTAATAAGCAGCAATTTTAGCAATGGATGAGGCAGTGCAAATTACAGCCAGCACTAATGAAAGCAGCTTTATTGGGTTTGTAAATATGTGCCAGACAGGAGTAAAACGTTTACTGTAAGAACATTAAGAGGACTTAAAAACATTGTGCTTGTTTTTGAGCAAAAAACAACTCTGGCTTTTCACAGTCCCAGCTGTGCTTTTACAGAGATGCTTAAGAGGAGAGGTTTAAGCTTTCTTGGGATTATCTCCTACCATATAAGTGCTGCTTTACTCCAAGCTCTGGCTGCAGTGCTGATAGCTTCACACTATGCTGAGCAGGTGATAGAGATTTGCAGCTTCTTAGAAGCAAGAACTGAAGATGAATACAGTATTAGAAAAGGGGAGACAGCATTGTAGCAGTCTGGCAGAGAGTAAATGAAGCTCTCAGGCCAGAGAACGGTAGCTATAAAACACTGAAGAATTCTCCCAGTGGGTAATTTTCCTCGGCTCTGGATTTTTGGGAAGCTGGTAAACCCAATTCCCTTTCTCCTCTGCCTTGTCATTACGAGGTTTGGGCATGATGTGCACTCAGACACTCAGGAGAACAGCCTGGCACAGAGGTACTTGGCACCAGCAGTGATCCTACAGCCCCACAGTCCCCGCCCTCTGCGTAAAACCAGGCAGCAACCTCTGTGCCTACAGCGTGTGCTGCAGCGTTAGAAGGGGAGGACAGCATTAGATGTACCCTGGAGCAGTGGCTGTAACACTGCACAGCCCCAGGCTCATTTATCCAGCACGTGGCAACAAGCACAGGCAGCTTTGTTTGCTCTACTCTATACGTGTGTACTTGAAAAGGCACAGAATGTGGTGGCGGGGAGATGGCGTTTGGAATAGACTAACCAAGCAAAGCCTAATTGTTACCTGGAAGTTTGTCTCCACGAGGAGAAGAGCACTCCAAAACCATGCAAATGCTCTGTGACAACACTGACTGAATGGTTTTCCCACCATCGGTGGGCAGGCAGTCCAGGGCACAGCATAGCAGCCCACCTACAGACAGGTCATAAAGCAAACTCAAGGATTTGCACATCTCTCCATGCAGACAGCATCTCCATCACAAAAGACAGCCCTCAGGGAAAGCCCTTTCGGCAACTAGAAACTGCTGTTTACTAATAGCTCCCAGGCTTCCAAACAGCAAACATGAAGATCAGGGCAGTTCTGCTTCACAGAGTGTGACAAGCAGTTAGTGAGGAGGTGGCTCCCCAGGGACTCTGACCCTGCTATCTCTGATTTCCATGTTACTGTCAGCTTGCATTGGATACCACGAGCCTGATTTTCAATTATCTCGACTCTCAGTGGCTGGATCTCATTTCACTAAACCAACACAGAGCAGCAAACAAATTTCACTGCCTGCAGATGCAGCACATTGCTGAAGCTCCTCCAACTTCAAGATCAATATAGTTTTAAGAGCCTAAAACACCAACTACAAGATTCAAATCATTTATTGGCACATTCAGTTTTCCACACACCTTGCTTGAGGGACAGCAACTTATGATACAGACTCATTCACCTCAACTCCTGTGTGTGTGTCAGCAATGTTCAGCCTGAGCGTTTTGCTGTCAGCCTTTGAGTTTCACTGCAGAATAAGGCATCTCAGCAGAGCAGGCAGCTGGAAGGGCTGCCTCTGGGAAGCCTTGCAAGGCCTGGAAGCTCCCTGTGGGCTGCAGTGAGGGCAGGAGGAGTCAGTATGAAAATAAAACTCTCCGAGTTATAAATAGTACAAAAAGAAGTGAATGGTGGGTGCAGCTCACTGCTATACACGTGTGTCTCTTCAGACTGAGGAGCAGCCACGGTGTGCATGGAGGGCAGCTCCTCTCCAGGAAGAGCCAGCCCTCCCCCAGGGTGTGCAGTTCACATGGAGCTGAAGGGCCAGGTACTGGATGTGGCACCAGGCCTCCCTGAGCTAAGGGAGGGCCGAGGGAATGGAGCACAGCTGCCTCCAAGCAGAGGACGGGGGCTGATGCAGCACCTGGGGAGGTTTTCAGGAAGGAATCATGCCTTTATTCCGCTTTCTGTCGGCCATGGCTCGCCGATTGTGATTCGCTCTCGTGCTTTTGTTTGCTTCCTTCTTCCTTCGTTCCTGCACTGTTTCCCGGTTCTGCCCGTGTCCCTTCGTGTTCCCAACAACGGCAGAGCTGTCGTGCTTGTGCCTGGAGTACAGAGGGAGAAGGACATCACAACAAGCACATTTAAGGAAGAAAATACATCGATCCCAAGGAAAGACTTGGGTCTGAGGGGTTCTGCCATTGGCTCAGCCCAGCTCTGCGGGTCTGCAGAAGCTGAGCATCACATCAGCCCCACAGTGACACTGTCCTACACACTGAGCACGTCAGCTACGGCCAGCTACTGCACTGCCCTGAAATCCCACAGGACTCGTTCAGCTCCGGGAAGCTGTTCCCCTCCAAGCTCTGACCAGCACAGAGTTCTGCTGATGATGTTAGAGGGATTCAATGAGACAGCACAACCAGCAGGGAAGTAAAAGTTGTGTGAGGAAGTTAACACCGTGTGGTGGTGACCCTGAGGACAGGAATGCTAAGGAACAGGTATATCCTCCACCACTGGAGTCAGCTACAAGATATTCACTAATGACAGCAGAGCCACAGTTCCACCCTGCAGAGGGAGACACTGACTTACCCCTTCCTGGCAAGGAAAGCCAGCCTCCTGGCTTCAGCTCTCTCCCGCAGCACAGCTGGGTCCT